TATAGAGATCTGGGCAGTGCCCACTAACACCCACGGTTTCTCTGACCGACCTGCCCTGAGCTAAACACCTGCCAATGTACTTCTCTGCCCTCCTTCCCCGACAAGGAAAACAGCTGTCCAACTGACTCTTGTAGAACCAGACCCAGCCTGCCAACAGGTGGCGCTGTCCTGCCTGCCTTCTGCTGTTGCAGACCAGCCGTGGAGGGACCTCCTGGCCCTAGACTGAGCTGCCACCGTCTGTCCCACAGTCCCTGCCCTTCTGTTCATTAGACACACAGACACACGCGCACGCTACCAACGACAGAAACATCGCAGCTATCTTTAAGAAGTTTTCCTAATGCTGGGTTTGTCTGTGTGTGATTTTTGTTTTGTGAATTTATTTTTTATGTTTAGCTACTGACTTTACTAAAGCTTGTTACTCCTCTCTGTGCCTTTAGGAAGTGCTGGACCTGTAGAAGGCATACGTTCTAACACTCAGCTCTCCCTCAGCACCACTCATGCCAGAGGGTGACAAGGCTCCTGGCTGCCTGGGCTGTTGCCAGTGGCCACACCTTCTGGGCCTCAGATTTTCATCAGTGGGAGGCAGGGCTTGGCCACACAAGCTCAGTGGGGCTTTCAGGGCTGAGAGCCTGAGCTTGTGAGTTACGGGAAGGCCTTCATGTACCCTGCCGGGCGAAGATGCCTGCCTGCGAAGGAAGGAACGCATGGGCTGGGGAACAGGTTCAGAGTGGCGTGGAAGGCCAGGCTAGGGCTAAGGGGGAGAGAAGGCCTTTGGTCTTGCTATCCAGGTGTACTCAGAAGACAGGCTCCGATCATAGAAGGTAGCTCGATAGCCATTCTGCCCTGCTGTGTCCATTGGAAGCACTTAGAGAACCGGGAACCCTGGCGGCTCAGTAGTTAAGTACCTGACCACCAGCCTCAGGCCGGAACTTTAACCCACCAGCCGCTCTTGGGGAGAAAGATGTGGCAGGGCAGTTCTGCTCAGCTCTCATGAGGTGGGATCACCAAGTGCGTTTGCACCTGTGCTTTAGAGACGCTTGAACAGCTCTGCAGAGCTTGTTCTCTCAGAAGCAGGACCCTTGTTCTGGCGCCTGGCTTCTCACTAGTGTTGTGTCTGAGGCGGGCCTCTCGCTGCTGCTGCGTATGTTACTCGAGGTTTGTAGTCACGATCCTAACTGGGGGGACGCCTCCCCTGTGTTCTTCATGCTTCCTAGGGAAGTGCCCAACCGGGTGGCACCATTATGAAGGCACGGCCAGCTGCTACAGGGTCTACCTGAGTGGAGAGAACTACTGGGACGCCGCCCAGACCTGCCAGCGCGCCAACGGCTCCCTGGCCACCTTCTCCACCGACCAGGAGCTGCACTTTGTCCTGGCCCAGGAATGGGACCAGCCGGAGCGGAGCTTTGGGTGGAAAGACCAGCGCAAGTGAGTGCAGGCCAGTCCCTTCCTCAGTCTGTCTTTACGTGAAATCCGGACCTACGTCAGAACAGTAGGTCTGGCCCACAGCTGATGTCAGCCAGTCAGCTGGTGTCTTAGTGTAAACGGGCTTTTCTCTCTAGGCATGGGAAGCCGGAAAGAAGCACTTTCAGATCCACTGAGATGTCTTTAACACAGTCTACCTCGGGTTGGGTTGTTATTATGGCTGTATGTGATTGGACAGGTTATAGCTAAGGCAGATGTTGGGAGCCTAGGACTGTGCCTGTATTTGGCTTTTGGTCCCCTGCTAGGGGCATAGATTGTGAGGTGGGGAGCCCAGCTCTGCCTGTGAGGGCATATAGTGGGCAACCTCTTCTCTGCCTGTGGCATTGGGGAATCAGGCACACGCTGTTAACCAGCTCAGCAAGGCGAGCTTCCTCTAGCCAGGTCACCCACTGTAAATCCTGATCCCCTAGAGCAGTGGTTCTCAACCTTCCTAATGCTGTGACCCTTTCATACAGTTCCTCATGTTGTGGTGACCCCCCCCACACCATAACATTATTTTCATTGCTACTTCATGACTGTCATTTTGCTACTCTTAGAAATCATCGTGTAAATATCTGATATGCAGGATCTATTTTTATTGTTGTAAATTGAACATAATTAAGCATAATTAAAGCATAGTGATTAATCACAAAGCAATATGTAATTATATGTTGTGAAATATTTATGTGTATTCCAATGGTCTTAGGCAACCCCTGTGAAAAGGCCATTTGACCCCCGACACACACCCCCACCCCCCACCCCCACCCTGCCCAAGGACTGGCGACCCACAGGTTGAGAACCGCTGTCTTAGGAGGTGTAATTCAGTGACTGTAGCCCTTGCACGAGGCTGACTTGGTGTCCCCCCCAGGCGAGGTCGGTGTGGTGCTGTGCCACAGAAGCCTCCTCTGACCGCAGCATCCGTGTTTAGAATGTTACTGTTTGTGGGTTTGGATTTTTTCTTCATTTAGAAAACTTTTTTTTAAAGCAATCATGTTTTAGAAGTGTAGCTCTTTTTATTTATTTATTTATTGACATCATTTTATTGGGGGCGCATACAATTCTTATCACAATCCATACATACATCCATTGTGTCAAGCACATTTGTACATTTGTTGCCATCATCATTCTCAAAACATTTGCCTTCTACTTGAGCCTTTAATATCAGCGCCTCATTTTTCCTCCCCCTTCCCTCATGAACCCTTCATAATTCATAAATTATTATTTTGTCATGTCTTACACTGTCCGACGTCTCCCCTCACCCCCTTCTCTGTTGTCCATCCCCCAGGGAAGAGGTTATATGTAGATTCTTAAAATCGATTCCCCCTTTTCCACCCCACATTCCCTCCACCCTCCAGACATCGCCACTCTCCACACTAGTCCGGAAGGGGTCCTGTGTCCTGGATTTCCAGAAGTGTAACTCTTAACCCACACACCCAGAGCCTCCGGGCCTTCCTGGAGCACCTCTGAGGCCTCTCCTATCTCTGCAGGTTGTGGGTTGGCTATCAGTACGTCATCACTGGGCGCAACCACTCCTTAGAGGGCCGCTGGGCTGTAGCGTTCAAAGGTAAGCCTTTCTGGTCTGTAGAGTTTGAGAATGGGCAGGTGGGGGAGGATTGTAAAGACTAGGGATATGCTAAAGGACCCTCTAAGTGAAGTGGGCTAAGCGTGGGCCTGCTAACCGAGTGGCTGATGACAGTCTTGGAAACCCTGCCGGGCAGTTCTGCTCTGGCCATAGCATTGAGTTCAGTCTGCTCCATAGCAGTGAGGTGTGGGACTGGGGTCTTCTCCCCTTTCCACCTCACTGACCATGCTGTGGGGACGTGAAAAGGAGTAGCCACAGGGTCTTTGTAAGCAAGGGGAGGGGTCCCCGGGGACAGTACCCCTCTTTCCAGGGTCTTCTCAAGTCTGTTGCCCTGCCTCCTTTGAGCCAGATTTCTAGAGTCTTCTCTCTCCATGACTTAAAAGACTTTGGGCCATAAATTGAGCATGTAGTACAGCTGACATGGACCAGAGAGGGAAGGATGTTTCCCTGAACTGGGGTTCAGATTAGAATCCAGAACTTGAAGGGAAACCTTCAGGTAGAGAGAATTAAAGTAGATCGTGTGTGTGTGGGTGGGGGGGGGGGCTATATGACACTGAGGTCATAAAAAGGAAGGAGCATGGGCATGAGCTGCTGTGACCTTGTCCCCTGGCCTTACGCTCCTCCGCTGCCCTGTCAGCCTGCCTGTGGGAGAGCGCCTGGGTGGGCTCTAGCTGTGGCCTCTCTGCTGCCCATCTCTGGACTCTTTCTGAGCATCTGGCTTGAGCTTTGATTCACGATTTCTTTCCCAAAACACATACCAGTCCTGCTGGTGATGCTTTTGAGAGTGTGCAAGTGAGACGTGTGGGCCTCGGACACCAAGTGCCCCTCCGTCCCTTGAGTGCTCAAGTGCAGGGTCCTTGTACTTGGGAAGAGCTCACAGTGCTCCTCACTGGAGGACCTTGGACTAGGTGGCTAGACTGTGTCTCCACACCAAGGGGCAGAATGGCACAGATAAGAGGAGTCTCGGTCATGGCCCACCTATCTTCCCTGGAGAGAAGGAAGACTCCCTTAAGGCAGGGAGGGTACTGTGCCCAGAAGCTACGAAGGAACTGGGGGACAGAGCCAGGCACTGTAGAAGAAGGAGATTGGGTTGGGGGACACATGGCATCCAGCCCCCCCCCAGGAGTACCTTCCATTCTGTGTTCTTGGAGGTTCACTTGAACCAGCCACCAAGTACCTCCCAAGCGATTGTGAGTGTGTTGTTGGGATTTCCTACAGAGATGGTCATTAACAAATGGCTTTGGGGGTTTTGTTCCCCTCGTGCCTCTCAGAGGATCATTAGCGCAGGAGCTTCTCACCTGCCCACTCACAGCAGTTGGAAGCACTGCTCTGTTCTTCCCAGAGGCCCTGTGAGTCAGGACTAACTAGATGGCACCCGAGGACAACCACAGCGTGGTCTTGATCCGGGCTCCTTTCCCGCTGACCCCGGTCTTCAGGGTTCCACAGATATCCCCAATGGGGGCTCCAAAAAGTGACCTCCCCCTCTCTGTGGCATGGTGCCCCATTCTGAGTCAGGGTGTTGAGAATAACCAGAGCCCTGCTAGGCTCTTGGGAAGTGGGCTCTGCCGGCCACACCTGTTCCAATGACTCCCTTGGGGCACCAGGAGGAGAGGCTTCCTCAGCTGTGTTGAAGCTGGTGGTCGTGACTGTGAATTAACCTGTACTCGGGGCTCAGCGTGGCCCCAGGCGGGGGTGGGAGTGTGGGTGCTAAGGTAGCTTTGTAGCTCAGTGGGTGGTTGCGCGATGGTATTGTGAACTTGGGCCTTATTAAATGGACTTGGGATTGAGTTATCTGGATTCATTACGTGGTCACAGGACAAGTAAGTGGCTTAAAGAGGTTTCTTTACTAAGATTCACTGGCCCAGACGCCTCACCACACCATAAATGCAATTAATATGAATCTTGGTGGCCTCCTGGATTGAGATGGAGGGTCAGAAAAGCATCCTCTGCTGTTTATAGATCCCAGGGCCGGGCCTCCTTCCAGACCAGAGCCCAGGCAATCCTGGGTTCTCCCTAAGGTGTCTGTCAACTCAGGTCTTGTTCACAAGGAACATTTACTGCTGGCAGGACTCCTTTTCTTTCCTGGGCCAGAGGGACAACAGCCCTGGGCTCTCAGCCCTGCACACGTGCTCCCCCACCTAACCCACAGTTTCTGTGAAGAACTAGGACAGTGTTAAGGGCAAGTCTCCGGGCAAAAGGCCACAGGAAGGAAGTCCTCACAGCCTACCTCCTCCCCACACCCACCTTTGTTGTGTGGGGGCATTGCCCATGGCCAGGCTAGTCGGAAAGCTCAGGACTTTCTTCCACACAGCCATGCGATGATAACTGCAGCGCCACGACTATCACCCCACTGAAAACAGAACACCCTAGCTCAACAGCAGGGGCTCCAAAGTCCACATCTCCGTTGTTTCCCTGGCTGCTGTACATACATACTACCAAGTTGATGTAGATGTCAAATTGTAATCTGGGACTTGGATAGGTCAAAAGCCTCCTTGCCCTGGGGACATTACGGGAAATAGGTGTGCAGGCCCTGGCCCCCCCAGCCACACCCCTGCTCCCTGAGCATCTAGATCTGACTTGGAAGACAGAGGATGGGTGGGTTAGTGTCTCTGGGAGCCAGTGCTGTCCCAGTGGCCGTGCTGGAGGTCTCGGAGTCCTCTGATGGGTGCCGGAAGGTGATCTGCCAAGAGCCCCTCCACAGGGTAGCTGGGCCACTGCTGAAAGGAGAGCGTCCCCTCGTGCTCCCTTTCACTTGTCCGTCAGTTGGAAGGACTCCTCTGGTGGCCCCGTGTTAGAGTCTGTGACTAAGTATTCATGGGCTGCTCCTGCTTCCAGCACCATGACTTTATTCTCCGCACAGCAGTTAGCACTCGGAGTTTGTGCTGGTTGTTGAGTGTGGTGCCCGCAGACCCAGGGTGGTGAGTTCCCAGACCAGGGCTGTTCGCCAGGGATGCTTGGAGATGCAGTGAATAATGCCAGAATTGCCAGGATAACTCAGACCTGGCACATGGTCTTGGCTTAATAGTTCTGTTGAATGCTTTTGTAACTTGAGGCATGATGATGATGATGATGATGTGCGGGCTGCCATTCTGTTGTATTGTCTGGTGCCCACCCCCACCCCTTTTGTCTCCTTCCACAGGTTCCTCAGACGTGTTTCTGCCCCCAGACCCCATCTTTGCCTCCGCCATGTCTGAAAGTAACAACGTGCTCTGCGCCCAGCTCCAGTGCTTCCACTTCCCCACCCTGCGGCAGCACAACTTGCACAGCTGGCACGCCGAGAACTGCTACGAGAAGTCCTCCTTCCTCTGTAAAAGAAGTAAGTTGCCTCTCCCGGGACTTCTCCAGGGAGCTGTCGGCCTTGAGTGAACTTTGACTAGGGCGCCCTCTGAGCCCTCTTCTCCAGCTCACACAGTATCCTGAGGGCTGCACAAGGTGGGGGGCGAGGGCGAAGAGCCTGAGGGTGGAACACCAAGTCTGGGGGTGAGCTCTTACTCAACCCTGGGTTAGGTCTATGACCTGGACCGAGAGGGTTGATACGTGTTGAGCCCACATTACTCTTTGCTGAGATAGGTACGATGCCTTCTACTCTCTCTGCCTTCCTGACTGTGGTGTTAGGAGGGTCAATGAGATGTCAAGTCTGGTGAGCCTCTCTGGAGCATCTGACTTCTTTGATAGCATCCCCTTGGCTCCTGCAGTCCCACTCTACATCCCTTTGTGACTGCGTTTTCTCCCTCAACTGACTGTGTCTCAGTTCTTTCTCTGTCCATCTGGCTGCTCACTCTTGCTGCACCTGTCTCCTTGACTCGCGCTAACACCGCTATGTCACCGAGTCCCAAATCTGGGTGTCCTTTGAGCGCCACTCTCATATGTGGTCACTCAAGATCCCTGGCAGTGTGAGGGCCTAAGAAACTATAGGACAGTCTTCCTCCACTGGGCCATGCAAGTAGGTGGAGCCTGCATTTCCAGACCACTGACAAGTTCAGATCTGATTTCAACCAATGACTCCATTACCATTTATTTGAATAGAGGCTGCTAATTTGTCAAGTACCAACTGATTTATATTTGCCTCTGTTTGGGGGTTCTGCTTCTGCCCTTGGCGATTTGTCCATTCTATGTCAATGTCGTTGTTAGGGGCTGTCAAGTTGACTCCGGACTCTCAGGAGGGGGAACTATGGCATGGGGGTGAGGTCTGACGTCCAACCATACAAGTGGGAGAAGTGTCGTCTGCCCCAGGCTAATTCCTACGAGATGCGCCACCCCAGAGCCTTATCAATTCTGACACAAGCTGTCCCTCCCACAGCATTCTCTACATCTCAGCTCACTTTGCTAATTCACAGATGGTACTTAAAATTCAAGAGGGTTTTAGGGACGGACGATAACTGGTTACAACAAGTAGGCATCAGGTGCTCCTCAAGCACCTGGTCTTTGGCCTCTCCAGCACATGGCCCCGTGGCCTCTGCCCTGCCTGGGCAATTGTAGAGACCTCTTTAGTACTGCTTTCGGATCAGTGCCCAAAGATCATGCCACTGCATCTGAAGCCTACACCTGAAGGTGCTGAGCTTTACCTCCGTGCCATACATAGCAAACCTCCTTCCTGATAGTGCTTGGAGGCACCCTCCACAGGCCAGCCTCTTGCCCAAAGGCAGGTGCCCAGCTCTGCCTACTCCTTGGGCCAGGAATCCCACACTCTCTCTCCTGTTGGGGCCCTGCTGTTGCAGCTCCTCTGTTGTCACAGCTCTGTATCCCTGGATCTCAAGGACTCTGTCTTTAAGGTACCGCTTCACACTGGGTGTGAAGTTGCATTCTCCTAGTGACTAATGACAGACGGGCCCCTTTTCATGCGCTTGTTGGTCTTTATGAAGAAATGTGAATTCCAGTCTTTTGCCCTTATTTTTATTGGGTGCTTTGTCCTTTGGTTGTTAAGTTGTAAGAATTCTTTGTATGTTCTGCACTAGACCCTTACCGGTGTGAATCCCATGGCCATTGAGTCAAATCCTACTCGTAACATCCTTACAGGGTAGAGTTGACCTGCTCTCTAGGCAGTGATCTTTGAAGGTGGCTGCGTCTTTCTCCCAAGGACTGCAGATGGATCTGAACTACCAATCCTTTAGTGCTTAACCCACTGAACCACTAGTGCTCCTTTGGTGAGTTGTATACCTTGCAAAGACTTTCTTCCAAACTGAAGGCTATCTTTCTTTCTTTTAAATCCAAAATGGGGTTATGGGGACGGCTTCCCACTCATCTTGATCCAGGGCCTTTTAGTTCTGCTTCCGTCTGTAGGAGCATCCTCTTGTGAGTCTTGCTCCTCCTTCGGTAGGCTGACAGGACAGTAGAGCATCCAGCACACAAAACTACTGTCTGCGCATAGCTGAAGATCGGGGTGGCTTTAGAGGTCCGGGGCTTCTGACGTCCCTGAAGTAGGAGTTGGGGTGCTGCACCAGGCGGGCGTTGCTTCTTGGGTTTCCTCTTCTCTTTGGGGGAATAGGGTCGCTGTGAATCACAATCACCTCGACAGCTGTGAGTTTGGTTTGGGGGGGTTGGATCTTTTAGGGAGCAGCCTCAGTGGCGTCATGGGCGATGTGATGGGCTGCTAACTTCAAACCCAGCACTTTACACTCTGAAGCTGCTTACGTGTGCAGAGATTTATAGTCTTGGAAACCCAAGACGGCAGTTCTACTCCGACCTGTAGGGTCAGAGTCTGACGGTGTCTGAATGAACACAAAGAGTTTTGGGGTCCTTGATTATCCTTTTAGACTTTGGGGTTCTGCCTTCTTGCCGGCCTGTAAGCCCTCACTTCCTGCTTCTGTCCAGAAACCGCTCCGCCTTCTCCTAGATGAGCTGCTCTCGGTTCACCGCTGCCTGTTAAAGTGGACTGCTGGAAGATGGCCCCTTGGCCGGGTTCAGGTTGGGCACCTGGGGCTGCTCTGTGCACCCGAGTCTTGTGCTGGATTGCTGGTGACCTGCAGGAGCGGGACGGAAAATTGAGATTCTGGAAGGGTGGGTCGCAGGTTAGCATACCAAGCGAGAGGTTGTAGAAAAGGGGGTGTTGGCCTGAGGCATTCATTCAGACAGCTAATGTCAATTGCTTCATCTTCAAATCTACTTCTGTTTGTTTGTTTGTTTGTTTGTTTGTTTGTTTGTTTGTTTCTTCAGTCTGCTTAAATCGGCTGTTGAACAATTCAACGAATGTTTTATTTCCAGTATTAGATTTTTCCTTTTCAGAATTTTTGCTTGGTTCCTGTTTATAATTTCCGTCTGTTCATTGATATTTCGAATCCATTTTAATTTTCATTGATTGTTTCTGTTTCTTGGTCTTTGTTTTTATAAAAATCTGTCATTTGGTTTGATTCTTTTTATTCTGTAAGTGTTGTCGGAAGGGACTCGACCTGTCTTATGATGTAGAATTGACCCTTATCGTAAGCAAGGCCCAGGGATCCTATAGGACAGACTAGAACTGCCCCTGTGGGTTTCCGAGATTATAATCTTTATGAGAGTTGAAAGCCTCGTCTTTCTCCCAAAGAGCGGCTGAAAGTTTCGAACTGCTGACTATGGTGAGCAGCCTGACATATAATCCACTTGCCACCAGAGCTCCGGAAAATGACTCCAGAGTAAACATTTCCCAAATGAGGCCCTGAAAGCTCAAGGGGGGTGTCCGCTAAGCTGCGACTATGAACTTCGCTTGTCAAGCAAAGGAGGGTAAAGACCATCAGAGACACTTGGAGATAATTAGTCTGGAGGACTAAGGGTCCACGAACACTATAGACCCCTCCCCCTTCCTTGACACCAGAACTCAATGGAGCCTGTTGACCCCTGCGGGCCACTCTTGAGAGGGGTCTCACGGGAAGGTCCCCGGTAGAGTGGGAGAAGACGGTGGAGCAAAAGATCAGTCAGAGATGGTAGAACCCTACATTTGGGCCCTTAGTCATCCTTCAGGCTTGAATCAAGCACAGCTCCAAGGCTCAGTGTTCACTCAACAATAGGTCTAGAAGGTGAACAGTCACGCTAAGGAGGTGCACACAGCGTATCACGACAGTCACCAGGGCCACATTGGCCCACGGACAGACAGACAGACCATCCCGAGGGTTAGGATGGGAGGAGGACGGGAGGCGGGGACCCCAGGGAGGCAGTGGGATGAGGGCTGTTGCCCTGTGAGGATGAGCCATCGGTGAAGTGAGTGAAGCAAAGCGGGTCTGAACTGGGAACTAGCCCCTGCTCTGCACACCGTCACCCCGCTCACAGTAAAAGGTCTAGAAGAGGTCAAAGGACATCATCTGAACACAAGGCACTTCTCTCTACGCTTTCCAGGGGGAGCGTTTCCTCTCTGACCAGGCTCCTTGGGCAAAGCTCACTGCGTGGGGTATGCTTGATCCCTCTGGCCTTGAAGCAGCTCCCTGCAGAGGCTCAGCCTGGGGAGTGGGGGGGTCTCTCTATTGTCATGCTCATGGCTCGCCCCCCAGTCAGCTGCCTCTGCTCGGCTGGGCATGGGTACATATGTGTCCACGTTTGCCTCTGCAGGTCAGACATGTGTTGACATCAAAGACAACGTGGTGGACGAGGGCTTTTCCTTCACCCCCAAAGGGGACGACCTGTGCCTGAGCTGTACCTGCCATGGCGGGGAACCGGAGATGTGTGTGGCCGCCCTCTGCGAGCGGCCCCAGGGCTGCCAGCAGTACCTGAAGGACCCCAAGGAGTGCTGCAAGTTCATGTGTCTGGATCCAGGTGAGCTGGAGGGTGGACTTCCACAGGGACAGCGTCCCAACATTGTGTGCTTCCTCGGTTCTAGGAACTCCTCCACGCCCAGGGCACACGGGACAGCCCGCAGTGCTGGCTCCAGAGCGGTGGTGCCAGCTTCTCGCGGGGGCACACTTTTATGTGCCTGGGCCTCGGTGGGCTCAGCTCCCCTCTGAGCCAAAGATTCCAGTCACACGTTCTGAGACCCCGAGGGTGGCTGTAACCGATGGCTTCAAACCTGTGTTTCTCTTCACCTTTCAAGACTCAGAACTAGACTTCCAGCTGTGCCCATGTCTGGGCTCATCTTATTTTCCAACTGTGTTGTCTGCACAATGAGAAGCTTTATTGCGCATACTCAGCTTCCTCTGTTAGAACCTTGACAGCAAAGATGGCCTATTGCCTTCAAAAAAAACCAACCCTACTGCTGTCGAGTCTTTGCTGACTCATAGCAACCAAGTAGAGAACAAGGTAGAACTGCCCCTGTGGGAGTCCGAGATTGTAACTCATGAGGGGGGTAGAAAGCTTCATCTTGCTCCTGTGGAGAGGCTGGTGTTTTCGAACTGCCAACCTTGTCATTAGCAGCCTAACACATAACCACTATGCCACTGTTGCCCCCAGCTTCAGGAGAAAACTCCTCTGTGCTGGGTGGTGCTGTATAGGTGGCATCCCTTACGTAGGAATCTGGTCTCTGAGTGACTCTTTCATGGGACCTTCCTAGGGGTCCCTGGCAAACCCGACTCCAAGGAGCACACGATCGTCCACCAGCATCCTCTGAGAACAGTCAGAAGCACACCCCACAAGCTTGTTTCCTCCATGCTTGACTCAAAAGTGGCAGGTGTGGTGGGGGCATAGCTGACCTCTTGGCTTCCCTGTTCTCACGAGGCAGAGGTCAGATATGCCTCCACTCCATCTTCCTTTACTGACTCTGACACCAACTGTTCCTCCCACAGCATTCTACTTTTCACAAACAAAACTCACAACCGTGGGGGTTTCTTAGAGAAATTGGCAGCTTACTCACCAGGATCCATCAGTAGTAAGGCTACAGTCCTGTGGCCCACAGCAACACCTCTCTGCCAGCAACCAAGACTCTCTCCAGTCTTCAGCTTCTCGGCCACCTATGACTCCACGGGCCAGGAACCCAGCCTGCTACTCTGCCTCCCAGTCTCATAGTCTTGGTACTGTTCCTCTGATCGGTCTCTTGGTCTCCTTGTCTCATCCGGCTCTTCTGGTCTGCCCCAGGGTCTCTGTGCCACAGCAGCTGGTCGCACTGGGATTTCTCTGTGTTTCTGAGCTGGCTCGGATCCACAGAGAGTGGCTTTGAGATGCCTTTGTCTTTCTGGAGACCATGCCCCCAAGAAAACACAGGGTGGTGACTTGGTTCACACCCTCGACTAAGGTAGAGACTTAGTCCCACCTTAATGTTACCCATTAGCATAGCGGCGAACTCTCCAAAATGGGATGCTAAAATTTACAATACGTCACAAAAGGGATTATGGCTAGAAAGGCCCTATTAATTAGCTAGATCTCAGTGTCCCAGGGTGAAAGTGATGTGGGCTGGGATTTGTAGAAGTACCTGGTCCCTCAGGTCCCACCTTAGGGAGAGGTTGTGGAAGGAGACAGTGGGGCCTGGCTGTGAGGACCAGCACACACTGTCCCAGGGCAGAGCCCCTCCACACAACTAGGGAGAAGTGTCACAGCCTGCTTAGCTGTGTGCGGAGTGCAGCATGAGGGTGTACACAGCCACCTGCCTGGGAGCCCCAAAGAGGAGATGGAGCTGGAGGCTAGCGTGCAGGGATTTGCAGCTTCTGCTGGCTCTCGGGGTGCATCCTGCGTGTTTCTGTGTAGGGCACATTCGTGCAGAAATATGAGAAATCGGAGTGGCTGCCCCACGTTTCTCTTCCCCCAGCATCACTCACTCGTGGCTCACTTCTCGTCTGCGCGTTAGAATCTGTCTCCCACGTGCCATGACACCTGGGGCCCTGGTGCTAGGTCTCGGGGAGCGCCCACCACTGCCAGGCACCAAGTCCCAGTTTTATCATCACAGCTAGAAGAATGGAGTAAGGTCCCATCGGGAGTGTGTGGCTTCTGGAGACCTAGGCCTCTGACGTTTCGGCCTACCCGGTGGTCGTCAGAGGACTTCCTGGGAAATGCTCACAACACGCTCAGGACAGGTGCCGCAGGTGGGCTTGGAGGCACCATAAGGAGCAATCTCAGATGAGCCTTCAGGCAGCTCCTCCAGCCGGCCCGATGGCTGCTCTTGCCACCACCGTCAGCACAGCGGCACCCAGGCTGGAAGTGACAGAAGGAAGCCATTTCTTTTGCCGACAGCATGATGGTCCTCAGGAGCGTCTACAGAAAAGGCACTGGAGCTAGGAGAGTAAGAGTTGTGCTTAAAGCAAGGTCACGAGTGACAGATGAATACACAAAAACCAACTCTACTCACACATGACACTCAACACTTAACTCGAAATGGACCACAAGCCTAAATGTTAAATCCAAAACCATAAGCGTCTTGGAAAAAAAGAAGAGCAAAATCTTGGGACTATTTCTGCCCCTCCCCCTCCCGCCTCCCAATGATAGAGATAATACATACATACAGTTCAGTCCTGGTCTTAATCTTGAGTTTCATTCTTGTTGGCTTGCCTTTTACTATCAGTCTCTTGAAATTCAATCTCCGTTTGCCTTTGGGGGCTGGAAACATGCACAAACGTCATCAGCAAAGTCTGTGCTGCAGGTTCTGTAGTCCATGTGAGTAACCGTGAGGCGCACAGACACGCAGAAAACACGAGTGTCACAAGGTCAGTTTGCCATAATGCCATCGTAAGTCAAGGAGCACTAAAACCGTGAAGTTCCCGCCTGGGGCAACATTTGAGAACTGCGTCCCTGAGAAGGGTCTGATGTCTAAAAGGTGTCGAAAGCTTCTATCATTTAACAGCAAAAAGACAAGTCAGTCAAAACCGGGCAGAGATGTGAACAGACCCTTCACCACAGAGGGTATCCACGTGGCCAGCAGACAAGTGGATAGATGCTATGTGCTGTCAGCAGCTGCCAGAGAAAATGCAAATGAGAACCACAGTGAGCAGCCATGAGAGAGAGAGAGAGAGAGAGAGAGACACACACACACACACACACACACACACACACGGCTAAGTTGAAAAGTGGGAGACAGCAAACGGCCAAGATTCGGGGACATTCCAAGTGTCATCCCCTGCTGGCGGGCATACAAGCAGCCATTGTGGAGAACATTCTGGAGGTCGAGTGACACAGGAGTTCCACTTTGGGGTCTGTGCCATGCGGGGGGATCTGGTAGAAGTGGCCCAGGCAAACGTGTGCACACCTACTGGTTATTCACGGCAGAGCTACTCATAGCGGCAAAACGATGGAGACAGCCTAAGTGCCCAGCCGTGGGTGAGTGGATAATGTGGGTAAGGAACACGTGTCCGTGCGCACAGCAGGAAGACCCCGCTCTGGTGATGAGAATGAGCTCCTGAAAGGTCGTAACGGAAGGTGGCTGTTGAGAGAAATAGTCCTGGTTCCGCAGAAAAATATATGTGTTGTCACTTTTATGAAATAAGCTGACAGGTAATACCGAGACACACATGTCGTGAGTGGATAGCAGGCTAGTTGGGGGAGGGAGGAAGCGGGACTAGCCTTAGCCTGAAGTCACTTTTATTGTTGATTGCAATAGGTGGCCACACGCCGAATGACTGGTGGGAACTGCCGTCAGTCAGCTGCCCCATGGGGAGAGGGACAAGTAGGCCAAGGCTTGGTGTGCGTGGTTGTGCAGCCCAGGAAGGGGGCTGGCTACAGATGCCGACACTACTTAGACACAACCAGCCACCTCTTGGGATCATGTGCTCGGCGGCGTAGGGCCGTCTTGTCAGCACTCCAGTCACCTGCAACCAGTCAAACGCCTGTAGAGTTTCTGGTCTGCCTCAGCATATGGTGAGTGGTGCCTGGAATCTCACACGCTTACCAGCAGCTGTGTAAGATACAGCAATTGGTCTTTATTCACGTGGGACAAACAAGAAAGAAGAGAAGCCAGAATCAGAAGGAGCTGGACTCTAGGACCAACAACGCTGTCTCCTCCTTGAGACCATTACTAGAGAGTGCCGGGCCACTACACTGAACGTTCCGATCAGGAACACAAAAGCACCCCACCCCACTCCAAGCAGGGGGTGGTGTATGTGTGCGTGAGTGAGATGGTGGGGACTTCTCGAGAAGGTCCTTGGTAGAGGTCCCAGTAGGGATAGCTGGGCACCAGCAGGGCCTGCAAGACAGAAGACAGGTTATTTGGCACTGCCCAAAGCACCCGGCAAGAGCCAGCTTTACTCGTAGGACAGCTCTCCTTTGTGTCTGAGTAGAAGTTCCAGGAGGTGGAGAGATGGGCAGGGACCTTAACTGTGCCATTGGGTATGGTTTAGAATGGCTTAAGAATCAGCCATCGCTCCCTGGGGTCTCTGAGCTGGCTGCCAATTCCGAGATGTGCCCCTAGCCTCTGGGCTGCTGCCGTGTACAGGAATGAAATGTTCCGGTGAGGCCGGGCAGAGGCATCAAGTCAAGAGAGCAGAGTACATGTCCTCCCAACCTCACTCTCTGGCCATGTGGTTCAGGCCGGGGCAGCAGGAGATGTAAGGGAAGTGGGGACCTGGCCGCTTATCTGGAGTCCACGAGCTGAGCAGTAGGCACTGGGCAGAGATAGAAGTGGACAGTCCAGCTCCACTGTTGGTGCAAAGCCTTGCTCTCCGGGGCTGACCAGGTCTCCTTCCTGCTCAAGGCTCTCCTGGTCACCAGCTGCAGGCTGGGGAACCCCTTTCTGGTCCCATCTTGTGTTGGTCATGCAAAGTGCTCCTCCCTGAATAGGGAGGATTGAGAGCACAGGGTTAAGGCCCTCCGCGTGTCAGGCCATATGTGGAAGTCCAGTGCTGGCTGGAAAACAGCTGAGTTCAGTTCCCCAGGGCGTGGCAGGCAGCCCCTTTGGAGATTGTGGAATTCCCGACCGCTCCTGTGATGTCTGAATCAGCCAGGAGACGGGGCCTCCTAAGCAGCCATGTGCCGGGCACCGAGCTTCTAACCACAGGTTGGCACTTGGAACCCCGAAGCTGCCTGGACAGAGAGAGAGGCAGTCTGCTCCTGTCTGGCTTTGTTGTTAGGTGCCATGGAGATGGTTCGACCCTGTGCACAGCAGAACGAGACACAGCCCGGTCTGCGCCAGCCTGTGCTTGTGCTTGAGCCTATCGTTGCAGCCACGGTGTCAATCCATCTGGTGGAGGGCCTGTCTGTTTTCCCTGCCCTCTCTCTCTACCAAGCACGATGTCCCGCTCCAGGCCCTGGTCTCTCCTGACATGTGCAAAATGTGTGAGACAAAATCTCACCCTCCTTGCCTCTAAGGAACACGTTGGCCGTACTTCTTGGAAGACAGATTTGTTTGTCCTTTTAGCAATCCACAGTACTTTCAATATTCTTCGCCAGAACCATAGTTCAAACACATGGGATCTTCTTGGGTCTTCGTTATTCACGTCCAACTTTCACATGCATATGAGGCCTTCGAAAATACTATGGCTTGGATCAGGCACACCTTAGTGTTCAAGGTAACATCCTTTCTTTTCAGTACTCATAATGAGGTCTTGTACAGCAAATTTTTCAAATGCAGTGCCTCTTTTGATCTCTTCACAGCTGCTTCTATGAGCATTGATTGTAGATCCAAGCAAGAGGCAGATTGATAGCCTCAGAAATGCTACTGGGGGCAGTGTTCTCTGGAGGGTTGCTGTGGGGTAGAAGCAGCTGTGGAGTTTTGGTCACCTAGTGCAGGGGTCCTCAAACTTTTTAAACGGGGCCAGTTCACTGTCCCTCAGACCGTTGGAGGGCTGGACTATAGTTAAAAAAAAAAAAACTATGAACAAATTCCTATGCACACTGCACATAGCTTATTTTGAAGTGAAAAAGCAAACAGGGCAAAAACACCCTGCGGGCCGGATAAATGCCCTCGGCGGGCTACATGTAGCCCGCGGGCCATAGTTTGAGGACCCCTGGCCTAGAGTTTAAGGATGGGCCTGTGAACTGCAAGGTCAGCAGTTTGAAGCCACCAGCTGCTCTGCGGGAGAAAGATGAGGCTGCTGCTTCTCTGAAGGCGGCCAGCCTCGGAAAGCCTGTGGAGCAGTTCCGCTCAGTTCTGTAGGTGTGCTGGGACGTGAATCGGGATCACGTTACTGGCATTGGGTGTGGTTTGGTGCCCTGAGCCTCAGTGCCCTTTTCCCCCCTTGGGTGTTAGCACAGTATACTCTGCACGGCCTTATTGCTCGCATACAGGGAGACTCCAAAAAGCTGGTGCAGAATGGAGTAGAAGGTGAATGGGATTTTCCACTCGAGTATCCTGTGAGATGCTGACTCCAGGGACCTGGAGCCAACGTGCCTTTTCCAGGGTCTCACCAGTTGCTGAGCGTGGGGGTGGCATGGAGTCGTAGCCGCCCTGACTACTGGGTGCTTGTGCCTGACAGATGGCAACAGCTTGTTCGACTCCATGGCCAGCGGGATGCGCCTGATCGTCAGCTGCATCTCCTCCTTCCTGATCCTGTCGCTGCTGCTCTTCATGGTCCACAGGCTCCGCCAGCGGCGCCGGGAGCGCATCGAATCCCTGATCGGAGCAAACTGTGAGGGCATGCCGCTGGGCCCCGGGGGTGCTGCCTTGGAAGGTGGGGCTCCATTCCTGTGGGGGCAGGCACCCTAGAGAGACAGCCCAACCCCCCAAAAAAACGCATGGCCTTTCAGTTAATGCTAACTCATAACGACCTTGTAGGACAGGCTAGAACTGCCCCCATGGGTCCCGAGACGCACTCTTTGAAGGCAGCAGAAAGTTCCATCGTTCTCCCATGGAGCTGCTGGGTGGAGCTGCTGACCTTGTGGATCGCAGCCCAGTGCCATCAGAGCCCAGTCAAAGCCATGGGGGGCCATGGGGGCAGTGCCCTCACCCCACCCTGTCTTCCCAGTCTCACAGGCCAGGACAGTGGCCATGCTCCCATTGGTGGTGCTCTGTGGTGACCGGGCAGAGCCCACATGGTGGGGAGCAGTATTAGGACGGGGCTGCTGAGAAGTGTGGGCACGCTCCTCAGCCCTGGGCGAGGGAGCCCATGATGGGGACCATGATGTAGTTGATAGGAATTCCACTTGTCACCAGGTCCAGCCCATGCAGGGGGTCGGGGGGCAGTGGCGGGGGTGGGACAGGTAAGCCAGGAGATGCCTAGGCCCAGCCTAGTGCTCATAGAGCCAGGGAGTAGTCAGACCTCCAGGGCACCGTCCCAGGGGAGCACTAGGCAGGGGCTTCCGGTGCCAGCTTGGAAGGGTACAGGGTGGGAGCACCGGGGAGTGATAGCGCCCTTGTTGAAGAGGTGCACCCAGGTCTGAGCGAGCTCTGAACTGCCCCCATCTCCCACTTGACGGACAGTGCACCACTTCAACCTCGGCCGGAGGGTCCCTGGCTTCGACTACGGTCCAGATGGCTTTGGTACCGGGCTGACTCCACTGCACCTCTCCGACGATGGGGATGGTGGGGCTTTTCACTTCCACGACCCCCCCCCACCCTACACAGCATACAAGTACCCTGATCTCGACCAGCCCAATGACCCACCACCGCCCTACGAGGCCTCCATCAACCCAGACAGCGTGTTCTTCGACCCTGCAGGTACCTGCCCAACCCCAGGGGTCCCTACGGCTCCGGGGCTGCAGTCCCCTCCTCCCCTTTTGGCCCTGATGGCTTTGCTGTCTGTATTGCCCGTGAGGAGGCACTGTCCCTTGAGCAGTGATCAGACCCTCCCCAGGGCCTATCGGACATAGCCCACCTCCCTGCCCCCCGTGTGATCAGGGTCAACATGAATCGGGGTCCTGAGTATGAGCCTGGGTCCCATCCTTGCCTTCACGCTTGTCCACAGAGCTGGGTCAGGGCTCACACTGGAGCACAGACTCCAAAGAGGCAGACGCCAGCTCCTGCAGGTTCTTGCTGCCTCGGTGGGTTTGCTAATTAGGCGAGGAACCCTCAGGATTCACCAGCACCTGCTCCACTGCCTGGGACTTCTCAGATCCAGGAACGAGGCAGAGGAGGAGCACACAGGGAGGGCCAGGGGGTCACACTGTGACTCTTAGTGTCTCAGAGGGACACTCTCCAAGAGGCTCCACAGCTAGCCAGGGGAGAAGGCATCAGGCCCCTTGCCCACTATGACACCCTGCCACCCCCACCCCC